GAGGCCGGGGTGTCAGACCATCAGACCGAACCCCCTGCTCAGGGGAAGCTGACACTCGGTGCAGGAGGAACACCGCCGACCAAATAAACAGGCAAAGGGAGTCGGTCTGATGACGGCAACCGCAGAGGGTGATGGGAAACGGGTAACAGGGGTTTGGAAGGGGGAGGGGAGGGAGGAAAGGTTTCGCTGAAAAGGTGAGTTTGAGCGAGTTCTTAGGGTGAGGGAACCAAACATGCGGAGGGGAGGGGCCTGCAAAGGCCCTGGGGTCAGGTGGGGGGCGCGGACCCGCAGCCCAGGCCGGGGCCTTGCAGACTCCTGGGCCAGAAGCAGCTGAGGCCCGGCAACCACCGCAAACCCTGCAGCTGCCCACGAGCAGGCACAGCTGGGCTGGCAGGGCCGGGAGCAGAGGGGGCACCCGGTGTCCAGGGCATCGGGGGCCCGCCCGGGCGGTGGCGTCAGACGGGTTCCTGGGGTGTCCTCTCTGTGCGACGTCTTCATGCTGCTGGTTCTCGGCTTCTCGACAACTCTGAGCTCCGCCGGCATCATTTCAGTAGCGGGGCAGCTGGGCTCCCCTCCTGCCCGGCCTGCCCCGCATCCTGGCCCCCGCACCTCCAACGCGCCCCCCGTGACTCGGGGGCTCCTTTCAGGGGGGCTCTGGTCTTTGTGGCTCCCGTCCTGGGTTCAGCCGACCCCGGCTTTCCCCGACTCTGAGGCCAGACCAGGAGCGGCCCAGGCCGCAGGTGAATCCTGGCTCCAGGATAATCGACCGCACCTGCCCTGCAGCAGAGGCCGGGACCCGGCGGACAGCACAAGCCCGACCAGGCCTCTCGGCCCGACCCGGGCAGGTTCCTGCCGCCTTCCGTCATCATTAAGAATTAGCCCTGCGTCTGCTTCGCGCCAGGCTCTCAGCTCAAATCCGTCCCACCATCTGGAAGAGGCTCCTGCTAACAGCACGGAGCCCGGATGGCTGCTGAAGGGAGAGCCGAGCACAGCGATCAGCTGAGAGGGAGAGACAGACAGAGAAACGCAGAGAGAGACAGAAACAGCAAGAAAGAGAAACCGTGGGATCTACGTGCCACACGCCCATTTCACAGATGTGGACACTGAGTCCCTAGAGAGGTGATGGCCCAAGCCGGCTGGGGCCAGCCTGCTTTGTGCCTGCGGCAGCTGGGTCCCATCCCTTCTGTGAGGACACCGAGCACCGAGGGACAGACGCGCGGCAAAGACGGGCTCAGTGACCTGTCTGGGTCTCGTCACGATTGCAGGACGCTAACTGCCGGCTTTGTGTCGCACTTGGCAACTTGTTAAAGTAACTGAGCAAAATATAACCAATGAACAATTAGCATGAAGTTCGTAATTAGGTCCTTGAAACACTGGACGTGGAAAATGTTTCAGGTGCTTTTATTTTTCTTCATTTTTTATTTCTCGATTACAGCTGACGTACAAGGTTATATTGGTCTCAGGTGTCCGTCCCAGCCACAGGCATCACATGACCTGCTAAGCGCTCACCCTGGTAAGCCTCGGGCCGCCTGGCGCCGTGGCTGTCACACTGTTACCAACCGTTCCGTGCTTCACGCCCGGCAGCTGCTCCGCACCTGCCGATCGGTGCCTCTCACCCCCTCACCTTTTTCCTGGAAGTATTATTATTAGTAAACAGACCTTTTCCTTTGCTGTATGTAAAAGGCTTTATTGAGACAGGACCCCCACACCATGCCACTGTCCACGTAAACGTCCAGTTCGCCGGTTTTCGGGATGTTCCCGCCTCCCCCTTGGCCCAGGAGACCTCTGCTCTGTTCATCTGTGAATCTGCTGGTTCCGTCCATCTGTCCTCTGGTGACTGGCTTATTTCACTGGGCATGTTTTCAACGCTCGTCCCTGTCACAGCGTTTACCAGAATTTTATTCTGTTCTACGGATGAGTAAAATCCCACCGGCTGGACGGGCCGGTTGTTTGTCCATCGCCCGTGACGGACGCTTGGGCCGTGTCTACCCTTTGGCCGCCGTGGGCAGTGCTGCTGGGGACCCAGGTGTGGGGATGCCTGTCCGAGTCCCTGATTCAACCCCTGGGGTCTGTACCTGGGGGAGGAAACGCTGGGTCACACAGCGACTGTTTCCCTTTCTGAGGAGCCAGGAAACTGGTTCCCGCCAGCCAGGCAAAGGGCGCCGATCCCTCTACAACCTCACCACAGCTCCGTTTTTTCTGCACACATGAAGTTCAAGCAACCAGCGCGGGGGTCAGGACACAGACTGTTTCCTGCACCCCAGGGGGGCACCCCTGGGAGCCCGGGAATCGCTGAAGAGCTGCCTGGCCACCAGGGTCGGGAGCCATGCCCTCAGCTCCTCGAGGTTCTCTGGGAGGGCTGGCCGACTCCCAGCCTAAAAATAAACCTCGGCTCTGAAGATGGACTATTAGAGATGACACTGTCACCTTGAGGGAGTGGCAAATGGCACCATGGCGGGCAGGGGCCCATCGATCACGGGCTGCGCCTCCTGCCTGGGAAGCCGAGGGGGGGGACGCAGGACGGGCCCAGACCCGGACATCTCAGTCCCCCCACCTCCCGGGCCCCTGCCCGAACTGCGATCGTGGAATCTAGCAGCGGGCGGAAGGGCTGACCTCCCGGAATTCAATTTGCAAGGTCAACCATGCAGGAGCCGGCTAATAGAATTGTCACGTCTGCGCGGCAGCCCAGACAGGCGCGGCCCGGACAGGAAAGCAATTATGTGATACATCCTCGGGCGGGCACCCGGCGCTCCCGCCAGCGCGGGGCGAGGTCGGGTGGCTTCGAAAAGGAGAGGGAAGGGAAAGCCGCAAAAACGCCGTCGCCCTGAAAAACCTGAACATCTCGGCTTCCCTGGAATCACTCGGGCGGCGCCGGCGGCGGGATCCCCTGAAGGCGCCGTTGTCTGAAGGGTATAAATAGCGTCCGCTCGGAAACCTGCAATTTCAATCACGCGGAAACAGTGGGGCACCCGCCACCCTCGAGCGCCCTCGTTTAAAGTTTCCTGACACAGGAATTGATTCCCCTCGAGATCCAATTAGAGGCCGTGCCACGCGAGGGCTGGCGGCAGCGGCAGTGACCTGTGGCGCTGATGTTTTCAGTGGTGTCACTTGTTTTTTCATCACTCTAGACATTCCAGGGCTGCCCCCAGCCCTGGCCGGTGAGGCTCGGTTCGTGGGGCAGTGTCCTGAGCACCGAGAGGTCGCCGTTCGATTCCGTCAGGGCACAGGCCCGGGCTGCGGGCTCAGTCCCTGGCAGGGGGCGTGCAGGAGGCAGCCGACCGCTGACTCTCACCATCAGTGTTTCTCTCCCTCTCCCTTCCTCTCAATTTTATAAATAAATCATGCCAAGGCCTTAAAAAGGTGTCTGGCGGTGCTGGGCGGGCAGTCTGCGGGAGCCGTTACATCGGTTTCAAGAAAGGCTGGGAAACTTCCCAATTTCTAAACTGGATCCAAACAACGGAACAGGTGTGGGGCCTCACGAGCTGCACGAACATGCAGCCCAGATCTGCACCCTTGGCCACGGGCTCAAAGCATCTGTTCCTATGGCCAAGTTGGCGTTTCTTGGTGGTCCCATTTTTCAGATGGGAAAGCTGAGGCCCCAAGTGGTTGAGCCACGAACCCAGACAGCTGGCTCGCAATCCATGAGGCTGCCTGGTGGCCGCAGACTATACCCCACCCGCCCACTGGGCGCTCCAGCCCCTGCCGCTTTTGTTTGGTTCCCTAGGTCAGCCCATCCCCTTCTCGGGGAATGAGGCAGGAGCAGACGGGCATGGGGTGGGGTTTCCAGAAAAGCCACTGTTTTGCTGATAAGGGACTGAAAGGGGTGGGCTTTGGGCCTCCCACCCGGCCCTTCTCCCCACCCGGAACACAGGTGGGAAGCTGGAGACGGGCAGCCACGCGCTCGCTCCGGACAGCAGAGCCCAGACGGCAGGAGAGGCTGGGCGCTGCAGTCCCCGCCCGGCCCTGGAGACCAACCAGCCTCAGCTCCCTGGGACGTGGGACAAAGCCCTATGGGGCCGAGCCTGGGCCCTGGGCCCTGCAGCCAGATGCAGTCCCAGTGACACGTGGCTCTTGCAATGACAGGATAAGAGCTGGTGTCCAGGAACCTGCCCAGAGCCCCGGGGAAGCCCAGTGAGGACGCGATCACCCTCCGGGTGTGACTTCACGCTGAGACACTCCTGGGTCACTAGGTCCCTCGAGGCCCAGGAGATGCCCGAGCACCTGGACCAAGCCTCCCCCAGGGCACAGCTCCGGCCGCCCATCAGCACGACCAGCATCCTACGGAGAGAACACGGGGCACACGGCGCGTGTCATGTGCACACACATGTCTGTTTATTGTTACATTCCTCATGGCACCTTCCCCTACAGTTTTATAACCCAGGAGGAAAGGGGTTCAGAAAGTACTTCCCTGTGCTCCACTTTAAAAGTACAAAAACGAGCACTAGGGGTCACAGGACTGTGCTGACCAGAGAGAATACAAGCACCTGCTGCCAACCCCAGGCGGGGCGGACGGCCCCGACACCCGTCTCCCAGGATCCTCGGTGACCACCGCTCGGGGGCCGCCCACAGGGGGACAGGCAGCTCTCCAAACACCCACACAGCAGACGATTCACATCAGAGACTTTTTAACATTCAAAGCCCATGAAACAAAGAGCTCCTGTTAAAGCAGGAAGTCCTCGCGCTCCCCGAGGGAGCTGTGCTCCAGGCAGCGCCCAGCGTTTGGTCGGTGGCACCCAGTTCCAGCGGGAATGGCACGTGGCGTGTCCTGTCATCCACCAGACAGTGCACGGCGGTCGGCCACGGGTCCCCACAACCGGCTGTAAGAAGGCGGCGGGAAGTCACGCTGGGCCGAGCCCTGGGACAGCTGATGGACGGGCCCCCAGGGGCCAGGGCCAGGGCCAGAGACCAAGGTAAAGGAGGAACAGATTTGCACCTTAACACCTCGAAGTGGACCCCCAGGGGCAGACGGCCCCCCCAGATGGACGGCAGACCCTTCCCAAGCCCCCAGACATGGCGCGTGTCCCCCGGCGGCCAGCGGTCTGAGTAAACCCTGGACGCACGTTGCGGCACCGCCGGGGCCGGGGGCTGCGAGGTCACTCAGAAGCCCTGCAGCTCGGGGATGTGCCGGTACAGGTCCAGCGTCTCCGGGTTCGAGAAGGCCCCGTGGTTCTCCACAGCCTTGCCCGCGATGACTTGCTTCACCGCCACCTCCACCTTCTTGCCGTTGACGGTGTACTGGGGTCACGGAGAGAAGAGAGATGAGGCGCGTCACCCCGAGGGGGGAGCCCCTGGGCCCCGCCACCCGCACGTCGGACCCAGGCCGAGCGACCCAGCCAGGCCTGGAGGGGATGGCTCTTGGCCCCCAGCCCCGAGCCCCCGCAGGCCTCCCAGGCACAGGGGCCACCACACCTGGGGGGCTGGGGGCCAACCCCTGAGCTTCTTCCTCGAATGCAAAACGGGGTGACAGTGCCTCCCCAAGGCTGGAAGGTGAAGGGAGCGAGCACAGCTCTCGGGGTCCCTCGTTCCATTATTTGCGTTACTTTATTACAGGTTATTATGTAACAAAGACCGGCTGTGACTCTCCCTCCGGCTTCCTGTGGCTCCATCACCGAACGGCCACAGGAAACGGAGCCTCAACCAAGAACCTCACCAAACTACAAAGTGCACGGCACAGCCCTCGGAGCCTCCAAGCCAGGGGTGGGGGCCGTCCAGGCCACCGGCCACGTCCGGCCAGGAGTCATCTGGTCTGGACCCGCCAAGGCCTCACCAGAGAGCAGCAGCCCAGCCATCCCATTAGGGGCGAGTTAGTTAAATGTCGGACCAAATACACCGGCTACTTTTACGCTGATAATTTTGTATGGCCCAGGAATGACGTTATAAACACCCAAGGGGCCCCTGGCAGAGGGAAGGTTCCCCGCCCTGAACAGCGGCACTTCTCCCCACCAGCGGCCGGCAAGTGGGCAGGCGGGAGGGGCCGCCCTCCGGCTCTGTGGAGCTGCAATTAATTCCCTCGTCGGTAATTGTGAGGCCACACGGAAGCCGCACGGGGAGAGCTGGGGGACACGAGGGCTGGGCCTGCTCTCAGAAGGCGCCTGTAACGCGGCTCAGGACGGGTTAGAGAGCATGGCAGGAAAGAGGACTCGTTGCCAGGCAATGGGGACACACGAGCCTCCAGACGAGACCCCGCACGCGCGGGCCGGGGAGGGGACAGCACGCTGGTCGCCCCTGCCAGGGGGCAGGCGGCAGCCCCAGAGCCTCACCGGGATGGCCTTGGTCTCCAGGATGACGCTGGGCACGTGTCGGGCCGACAGGCCGAGGCGGATGGCATCCCGGATGCGCTTGGTCAGCTCGGGCCGGAAGGCGTGGCCCGGGGCCATCTTCAGGAAGAGGACCACCCGCTCCTCGCCGTCCCTGTTGTACTGGGGGACGCAGAGGCTGTCCATCACCTCCTCGAAGGCTTCCACTGCGGGGAGGGGGAGCGTCAGCCGCGCACTCCAGGGCCCCTCGCTGGGGGGCAGGCTCGGCCCCAGCCCCACAGCCCCCCCACTCTCTCTGGAAAGCAATGGAAGAAACATCCTCGGGCGGGGGTTGGAAAGGACACTCCCCTTCTAAGGCCCTGAGAGCTGCAGGCCGCGAGGCCGGCGTGTCCCTGGGAGGGCGCACTCACGAACGTCCCGCTCACGCCAGGAGGCGCGTGGGCTGGGGCCCCACCGAGAGGTGAGATCTTTGGAGAGCAGACGTGTGGGCTCCCCACCAGGACACCCCTCCCTTCCCAGACGGTTCGACAAGAACCCGGGAGGAAAGGAAGCCGTGTACCGATGTTGTAGATTTCCGAGCTGCCGAACCGCACTCCATTGGGGTTGAGTGTCCCGTCGCTGGAAAGAGACGAGGCCATGAGCGCACAGCAGCCCCGAGCGAGGTGTGCGGTGCAGGTGCCGGGTGGCGGCCACCCCTTCCCACACGGAGACATCAGACCAGTCACAGGGGCTCGTGGCCCCATCCTGATGGCGACCAGCCCCCTCCCTCTCTAAACTCAAAGCCAGGCATCGAGGCAGCCCCCTCCTGTGGACACACCCGTCACCTCCCTGCGCCTTCCACCTGCCCACGGGTCCCTCCCTCCCAGCTGTGGCGGGACCCTAAGACCACAAAGCCCCCGTCCCAGCAGAACTGTCTAGGGGAGCGAAGCCGACCACAGACCCTCACCTCCGGCCCAGCATCACGATGCCCCCGGTCTTGGGGTTGATCCTGCAGTAGTCCCCGTGCGCCCAGACACCTGCGGGGCAGAGGGGCTGGTCACCCATCGGCAGAGACGGAAACCGGCGGGGCGGGGCGGGCAGGCGAGGGTGCCCGCCGCCTGCATGTTCTGACTCCCCACGTGTGGCTTATGCAAAGTCAACTATTTCCAGAGGCTGCGGAAAGCGAGCATTTAGGACAAACAGCTCTGGGGCAGACGGCTGCCGGGCGATGGAGTCTGCAGCTCCAGGCACCAGGGCTCCAGCCTGCTTATGGACGAGCTGAGAGGAGGGAGGAGTCGGAGGTTTACACCAGAGACTCCCCTGCCCTGGGCAAGGTGCCCGCGGGGTGTGTGTCTGGGAGACTGACAGGCTACTGCCAAGGCACCCTCTCTGCGCCCCCAACCTCTCCATAGGGCCTGGGTGACAGGGTGCAAGGCAGAGGGCAGAGGCCCAGGCCAGACACCTCACGGGCGCCCTCTCCCCGCAGGCAGGGACGCCCCGAGTACGCGAGTGGCCCTCCGGCCTCCCACGCGCAGCCAGGCTCCTGCCACCACCAGGCCAAGGGGCTCTGGGCACGGACGGTGGTTAAGATGAAACTAAACCCAGATTACAGCTCCAGGCTCAAGTGACGAGGTGCCACCCAGAGCCCGGCCCAGCCCGCGGGCGCCGCCCTGCCTGCCCCGCCTACCTGGGAACTTGGAGAAGTAGGCCTTGTGGTACTTGCTGCCACTCTCGTCCATCCAGAAGTGGGTGGGCTGGGAGGGGAAGGGCCTGGTGCACACCAGCTCCCCGCTCTCCCCCCACACCGCCTTTCCTGCGGGAGCAAGGACGTCACCGAGGGCACACCCAGCCACACACGCCTCTCTCTCTCTCGCACCTATTATGCAGCATTTTGGACACGTGCAAAGGCACAGAGCTGACCCGCACCCAGTGCCGCCCTCAGGGTCACTGGCAACATGCTTCTGTCCCCAGTGACCTTCCCTCCTGAACTCCCCCAAACCTCTCCCCGAACGTCCTGTTTAATTACTCCCGTGTGTTTGCTACGTCGACACCCCCCCGGATGACACCATTGCCACACAGCCTATTTCTAAACCCTGCGTAGATGTCCCCTCCCCACGTCGCCCGGCTTCATCCTTCCAGCACCCGCTCTGCTGACTCGGCCACACGGCTACGGCTCAGGCAAAGGCTTGCCCGGGACCAGCAGAGAGGCAGCCCCGGCCCCCTCAGGTCCTCAGGCAAGGCCAGGGCACCCGGCTGGCAAGGCAGTGGGGCTACCCCAACAGCACTGCAGGCTGGGACGCCAGGGGCACCTGCCCACCTGCACCCACCCGAGCACCCAGCGCTCCATCTGTGCTCGAGCCCAGCACCTGCTCTCAGGTGGGCAGCCCGGGGCTGTTAAACCAGCCTCGAGGGACGTCGGCCTGCAGGTCAGCGGGTCTGACTCCGAGCAAACGCGCACACGTGCTCCCAGTCACCACTCTCACCGCGTCCCGGGCGCAGTGGGGCCGTACCTTCTTCGTCCCAGGCCTCCACGGCCATGCCCAGGTTCCGGGCCTGGATCTCCCCTCTGTGCACCGGGAGGGAGACGTTCTGGCCCATGAAGCAGGAGATGATGTCAGTGCCACCTGCGAGGCAACAGGACGGGATTCAGACTCCCGTGTCCTTCAGTAACGAGCAACAGAAAGGCCCCGAGGACGGGCGTCAGCGGCTCTCAGGCAAACACTGCAAAGTCCCAGACGGGCTCCTCCTCCGGAGAAACGGGGGAGGGGACCGAGACACTGGCGAGAGCCCGTGTCCAGCGACTTATTTCAGACCAAGCGTCCCTGCTGAAGGGGAGACTAAATGACCTCTCAAGGCCACACTGGAAGCCGAGACGCGGGCTCCCGGGAAACGGACGCTTCGCCCATCAGCTCCACCGTAGGCGCCGCGGGGTCCGAGGGTGTTCCGCTCGTGGGGACCAGCCGGTCGTGTCCCCACCTCCTCTGCGCCCTGCGGGCCCCCCCTGGCGCCAACGCCCAGCCCCACACCTGAAATGGAGCCCAGCAGGACGTTGCTCTTGATGTTCCTGTACACGTACTCGTAGCTCTGGGCTTTGAGCGGGGAGCCGGTGGACAGGATCGTGTGCAGCGTCTGCAGGCTGTGGGTTTCCGCTGCGCAGAGGATCAGAGATTAAAGCCCCACCCGGCACCTGCAGCCGGCCCGCGGGTGGGAGACGCCCGACTCGGGGGTGGCCTCCCTGCTGGCAGTGGGGGGCCCGACAGGGCCACACTCACCGGGCCGCAGGTTCCTCTCCTCGAGCACCGACAGCCACTTGGCCCCTGTTCCCAGGATGGTGATGCTGAGGACACAGGAGGGAGAGAAATCACCAGAAACTCTTCAAGGCTCTTTCCCAAGTGAGCGGCTCACTCCCAATACGTGCGAAACCCAAGACAGGTCATGGTTTTGGGCTGAACTGATACTTGGTTTCCTGAGATTTGATTAACCTTTCACTGGAAACAATCTCGTTAGGAAAGACCCACCCCAGCTGGTATCAAGCAAAATGTCAGGATCTGAACATTTCCCAGGCCGGGTGGAGTTCTATTTAAAACGTTAATGGCCAAGGATTTAAAAACGTTCA